TGTGTCCCCAGTTATAAATGAATGAACAGGATGTGATTTACATCACGTCCTGTTCATGCATGAGTTTCTCAATGGGGAGAAGCACTCTGTACAGAGGCTCCTCCCCATTCAGAAACTGCTTGATAGTAAAATATTTTCTGAATAAATGGGAAGCCTCTGTGCTTTCCATTCATTTAGAATAGAGGCTGCAGAAAAAGAGATTGAGGACTTTGTGTCCTCAATTTCTTTTTCTATTTTAAAAGGGAAATATCAGGGGGCTGTTTAGACCCCTAATATTTCCCCGAAGCCCCCCAAGAGAAAAAAAAAAAAAAAAAATTACGAAAAATAATGAAAATAAAATAAAAAATAGTAAATAAAAAAAAATTTTGTGTTTTTCTTGCCTCAGGTGCAAAAGGAGCTGGGTACGGCTATGCTCCCGTGGTGCTCGTGCGGCTGCCGGCTGAATGTGTCAGACCCTGCAGATGGAAAGGTGCAGGACACCCCTTGTGCAACGTCGGCCACACGAGCACAGGACGCCGGGACCTGTAGGGCGCACTGGAATGTAAGCCGGCCGACTCCCTGCGTTCAGGTGCGGGAGGGGGTGTGGGGCTGTATTGAAGTCCAATGGCATCGCCCACAGCGCGATCGCCTGCACTCGGAACGCAGGCATGTTAGTGCCTTCATTCCGGTCCAGTGCGATCTGCAAAAATAGTGCTCGCAGCATTTTTGCGGATCGCACTGGACTGGAACACAGGCACTAATGCAGGCGAGGGGCCTGCCTGCAAAGCCTGGCTGCGGTGCCATTGACCTCAATGCACCGCCACGCCCCCTCTCGCCCCTGAATGCAGATGTTTTTTTCATTGGTAGATCTCAATGAGCTCGTCATTTGAAAAGTAGATCTCCAGATGAAAAATAGTGGGCGCCCCTGTGGTAGACTGTCAGTGCTGAAACTACATGACTGATAACATCTCAGTCCTCTGTTGGGCAGGGACTAGCGACTTCTAATACAGAATGTGGAGCTCTATTAATAAGCAAAGGAAATGGCCAAGAAAAAAAATTGCCATCCAACCAGTTCTTAAATCAATTTATTTAGAACATAATTCCTCGGTCTCTTGTGGCCTCGACATGGTTTTATATATCAAATACAGATAATGCATGGTTGTCTAGTGTAATTATCTTATTGCTTTTTCCACCTAAGGCCATTCCCAGTGCCAAAGCCTTCATTGGAAGATCACTCGAACAGTATTGATGACTCAGAGTATATGTGCCCCTCTTCCCTACCAGTTAATCCTTCTGTGGTACCTAAAACTGAAGCGAAGAGGCCTGTTGAATCCCTACCTCCTGGAATATGGTTAGTGAATTTATGAACTTCATTGGTAGAACCTGTATGCAGGTAAAATCGAGATATACGCTACTACAGGCCTAAAGCATTCATAAGTGTGGCAAAAACTGTTAGGACAAGTGATTTTCTGTCTAATAAGCAAAACAAATGGCAAACTCACTCATCAACTCATAACCAGCTTTAAAGCAAGGTGCACATGGAAGGGCTTTAAACAGTACAACAGCAAAAAAGTTTCCCAGCACACTCGCCAGCCAACATGCAAAAAATAAACCTGCCTCACCACTTAAAAAGAGGTTTCAGATGCACGTCTTCCGCAGAATATGTGAAAGCCGCACAGCCTTGTCAAGGCCCCTCTGTGTAGTGCAGTCCTAACTCCAACCCATGAGAGTCTCCATCTTGGAGCACATGTAGCAAAAGATAAATTGGGTGCAGGTTCGTTAGGTGCAGCCTAACCTCACCAAAGGCACATCACAATGGCAGCTGACACCCCCAGTGTGTCACTGCACCAAATCAGTCAAGCAAAACAAGGTGCACATGGAAGGGCTTTAACCGCTTGAAGACCAGGTGTTTAGATCCCCTACCTGGCCAGGCCATTTTTCAGTGTTCAGCGCTGCGGTACTTTGACTGACATTTATTCCGTCACGCAACGCTGTACTGAAATGAATTTTATACCATTTTTTGGGGACAGATAGCTTTCTTTTGGTGGTATTTAATCATCACTGCGGGTTTTATTTTTTACTATATTCAGGAGAAATTACTGAAAATTTAGAGAAAAAAAAGTTATTTTTTTACATTATGCTATAAAACAACTAATATTACCCACTTTTTTGGTAAAATATAAAAGACGGGGTCACGTCGGGTAAATAGACACCAAACATGTCAAGCGTAAAAATTGCGCGCACTCGCAAAATCGCAAAAAACTAGCATACCCAAAATTGGCCATAGGCGACGCTTTAAAAGCTTTTACCGCTCATCAGTTTAGTGTTATCAGTGATTGATGGCCCTAAAGAATATGTGAAAGTCCCACTGCCTTGTCAATGCTTTGCATGCTGGCTGGTGAATGTGCAACAACAAAATAAACTGGATTAAATGTAAAAGAAAACTGGTTATGGTTACAACAGAGTTCAGTTCACAGTCCCATTTGATCTATTAAAGTCATTGGCTTTCATGAATGCCTTCACAATCTGGCTTGATTTTAATGGAAAATTGAGATCTCTTCGCTGCCAATTTCATCAGCTTTTCGTGGACCCTCTAAAGAGTGTCTACAGAAATGACAATTAATCAAAGGGTTTTAGGATATTTCAGTAGACAGTTGCCAGTGCTAGTTGTTTTAATTGTATCAATATATCTAAATGCCAAAGTTTTATAATCCAATAATCAACGTGATATTGCAAAGAAGGAAATAACGTTTTGATGGAAATCCGGCATGATACAGGTCACATTACCTCTTCTGCCCTACAAATAACCCAATCCGCATTCTCCAGTTCATAATATAGGGGAGTTTGGTGTCTTAAGTGAGCGGTACTTTCTTATGCATTTATGTAAACACTTATCACTTATTGTCTTAGCTCAATCATAGCTGCATTATGAAAATTGTATAGATTGTGGAATTGGTAGTGAGCAAGAGCCAAAATTAACTGATCTGCTAAAATATTTATGACCTGCACTATGATCCTCTTAAGAGGCCTTTTGGATTTGTGCATTTTGAATAAAAAAAGACTGCACTGCATTCAGTATGATCCTCATTCTCTTTCAGTTTGGAGTTTGTTGCACTTAGTTATTGTCATACTGACTGCCCCCATCTCATTTCTCGTATGTGTATTCCACCTCTCATCTGCTCCTCCGGTATTCACCAAGGTGCTGTCTCCATAACTAGCCCTATTTTGCTCTTGTGGCATTCCCATTGTGGGATACTTGAATACCTCTTGTTGAGGGAACAGCTGGCACGGCCTGTGTCAGACAGTGTAAATAACTGTTCCAGACATCACAGCAATTCCGATGAATCCTGAAAATCATTGCTGAAACAGACTCATTGTTTAAAGCAGGGGTGCCCATAAGGTCGATCGCGATCTACCAGTCGATCGCGATGTCCTCTCCTCCCGCAGGTGGGGCTTCTCTGGATCCACGCTGCTCTTCCCATCTGTAACCAGCGGGGATCCGAGAAGAAGTGAAGGAACCGGCGGAGGACGGAGCCGCTCTCACAGAACTAATGCCGAACGGTGGGGAGAGAGAGATACGCTCAGTCTGGATCTGACAGCCGGCCCTCTCTCTCCCCTCACCGCTCGGCCTAAGTTCTGTGACAGCGGCTCCACCCCCCGCGGCTGAAGTGCTTCGTGACGGATCCCCCTCTGCGGTTGAGAGCAGGGAAGATCCATGGGAGAAACTGAGCCCCCGCGTGCGTGGCCGAGCGGCAGAGGATCGGTACATATCAGTGATATGTACCGGTCCTCTGTGCAGGACAAACACTGGAGCAATCAGCTGATTTCTCCAGTGTTTGTAAATAACTGGCGACACATAGTACTATGTGTCCCCAGTTATAAATGAACAGCAGGTGATTTACATCACTTCCTCTTCATGAGTTTTTCAATGGGGAGAAGCACTCACTACAGAGGCTCCTCCCCATTCAAAAACTACTTGATAGTAAATATTTTCTGAATGAATGGGAAGCCTCTGTGCTTTCCATTCATTTAGAACAAAGGCTGCAGAAAAAGGGATTGAGGACTTTGTCACACACACTGATTTTTTTTTTTTCTATTTTAAGAGGGAAATATCAGGGGGCTGTTTTAGACCCCTAATAGTTCCCTGAAGCCCCCCAACAGTAATAAAAAAAATAGTAAAATAAAAAAAATAGTAAAAAACAAAAACCTGGAGGCAGGGTGCTGGGTGACATCACACGCCTGTTGGGGGGAGGGGGGGGCACACGGGTTTTTTTTTTCGCAAGAGGAGCTGGCTACTGCTATGCTCCCACGGTGCTCGTGCGGCTGCCAGCTGAATGTGTTAGACACCGCAGATGGAAAGGGGCAGGACACCTCTCCCCATGTGCAACGTGGGCCACACGAGCACCACGGGAGGACAAGGCGCCGGGGCCACTACGAAGCACTAGAATGTAAGCTTGCCGACTCTGCGTTCAGGGGCAGGAGGGGGTGTGGGGTTGTATTGAAGTCAATAGCACCGCAGGCATGCGCCCCCCCCCGCGGTGCCCATAGTGAGATCGCCCGTGCCCGGAACGTAGGCACGTTAGTGCCTGCATTCTGGTCCAGTGCGATCTGCAAAATTAGTGCTCGCAGCATTTTTGCAGATACTGGAACGCAGGCAGTATTGCCTGCACCCAGAACGCTTGGTTCCCGGTGCAGACGATTGCACTGTGAGCGAGGGGCCTGCCTGCGGTGCCATTGACTTCAATGCACAGCTCCTCCCGCCCATGAATGCAGGTGTTTTTTCGTTGGTAGATCTCATTGAGCTCGTCATTTGAAAAGTAGATCTCCAAACGAAAAATTGTGGGCGTCCCTGGTTTAGAGTATCTTGGCCTGGTCCTGAACACAGCTCAGGCTAGAGTGTTCCTTCCACAGGAGAGCTTAAGAAATGCCAGTCTCAGATTTGAGCGCTCTAGTCCATGAGTGCTCAACCCAAAGGTTAGACTTTGTGTCCTTTAAAAGCACTTAATGAAAGGGATTCAACAGAGTACAAACATCTCAGGGATTGTATCAGAAATTTAGAGCTGTCCTGTGCACACTTCCTGTATTACATCAAGAAGAGCAATTAGCCCACCCTTGTTATTGAGATGGTAGAGTGGGATTGTTTGGATAGTTTAGCAAAAGAAAACTGCACAGGGCTGACGCAACTCGATTCACAAATATGCTGTGTGTTGTCAGCCCACAGTAGTACTTTAGAGCTGAGTGCATTTCCTGCAGATCCACCGTTCTTTTACTATACTTGCAAGGTCTTTAACGCAGACAAAACATAGGGAAATGTGCATGTATTGCAGAAATGTACTGCATCTGGGGGGTTTTCTTTTTTCTTATTTATTTTTGCACTTACACTGAAGTAAAGCTTTAAAGGGTAAAACCCCCAGCCCCCCTCCAGTCTTGTTCTTTCCTATCCCCAATCAAGTGTGACACTGCTGACTACTAGATCGCCTGGCTTCTTGTCGACAATCTTCCTGGCTGAGCCTGCACATTCACTCTGAAACTCCACTAATTACCATGAATTTGAGTGTGTGGAATTGTCATCACTAAGGACTAAAAGTTTTAGATGCTGGACAAAACATGTTGGCCACTTAGTAATACCCTGTAACCGAAGTTCAAATATCATAAGGACCACTTCAGCTGTTTTTATATTTTTTTTTTTTTAGGCCAGCTGAACAGCAGGGTGAAAGAGAGTCGTATGAGACCATGTACAACATCCATTGTCAAGCCGCACCTGTTGTCATGGAGCCAAGGAGTGATGAAGGTGAGCAGGGAGGAACGTTTGTGGATAAAATGATGGGCAATATATATGATATAATGTATACATGGAGTTTGTGCTGTATTCTAGATGCACCAGGTAAATCTTGCAGACAGATTCCCGGACTTTATAAATAAAATAATCCTATAGCAGAATCATTTTCACCTTCCCTCCAGCGATGCAATGTCCTCAAACTCCCTTTCCAGCATTAACATCTTCACTCTGACTTCTCCCGCATCCCAGCAGATGCAGAATCTGAACACTGAGCTGCCCATGTGCATGTCTACATTGTCAAGAAAATTGTAAAATGCAGGTGTAAAAAAAAAAAAAAAAACCC